TATACACTCCGCCCAATATAAAACACCAATATATTCCCTTCCTGATACACACCCCACCAGATATACATTCCACTCAATATAAAACACCAATATATTCCCTTCCTGATATACACCCCACTCAATAGACTTCATACCCACTATCACAGAAGTGTTATGGTGCAGAAGGAGGCCATTTGCTCCTGCAAGTGAGCATCATGACTTAGTGCCATTCCCTTATTCCTGGTATTTCTCAGTTAATTCCATGCATAGCTATTCCTTTTAAGAAGTACACTTTTCAAATTTACGTAAATTTTAAGAGAATACCTTGTACAGTTCCGACCAATGAACTTACCAAGAAACAGTGAAAAGGAAAGCACCTCTTCCCCGCCATTCACCAAACTCCCCCATTAGCAGACTTTACTTCTTGTAGTAAACCTGAGTAAAATCATCTCTCTCCTCCACTGCATTGAATTCTCACTTTGAATCAAATTCTTGGATGTACCCACTGGGTCTCTGACTGTCTCAAGTGAAATCTCTCCCACACTGGCTGTGTGCCATTACTACCTGCCTGACCTGTACCCCACCCACTATACTCCCTGTCCTATATACACGCACCTATTATACACCGTGCCTCATGTACACACTGCCCCATATGCACCCCTCCTGATATTCTCCATGCACAATAATATAAACCTACCAGTATACACTTTTTCTCCTATCACTCTGATATATACACTGCTTGTCATGCACAATGCCTAATGTACTCCCTACCTGACATGCATCCTGCCCAACATATACTCTACTCAATATTCACTTTACCCACTGAACTCCCACCCCAATATATATCCCACTCAAAGTATACCTGATCCTATATACACGCCACCATTATACACCTGCCCCCCAGTACATACTTGCTTTATGTACACAAAGACCATATACATCTGCTTGATATATTCTCTGCCTGATATACACACTGCCCGATATACACCCCCACCTAATATGTTCCCTGACCAATTCAGGCACTAATCTACAAAGTTCTGTCTGTTGTACCCCCTGCTCAATATGCATCCTGGCAAATATACATCCTGTTCAATATATGTTGTGCCCAAAATATTCCCTGTTTGATAGGCTCACTGGCTGAAACTACTCTAAGATACTCTCCCAGCTGCTATACTCCCCTACCAATGTTCCCTCCATCTCATATGCTTCTCATTTGATATTCTTTTTAACCATGCGTTTGGTCTTCTGGTCTAATAACACCTTATAGGGGTCCTTGTCAAATTTGGTTTAATAATGCTCTTGCAAAGCATGCTATGGGGCTTAATTATGTTAAAAAAGTGTGTAAATTCAAGTGGTTGCAGTTGCAATGCATTTTGCTGTTGCACTGCAAGATATGAGTGCAAAAATTGTAGCAATGTTGATTGTGTGAGGCTGACATGAGTCAAGGGATGGGGCTGCTTGGCTCGGATGGTGAGGTGGTGAGTGAAGCAGGGGTATGGTGACTGGAGAAATATGTGACACAAGTGGTCCATCCATAAGGATATGTGAGGTAAATGCACTTACTAAGCTTGACTGCTTGTGTAAGGTCATTGAACAATTTTGCAAGATTCAAGCTCTCGGAACTAGACTGTTGGCATTCAGAGTGAAGACTATCTGCTCCCACTATCTTTGTAATGTCTGTCTGAAGGTTCAGCTGGTCACCTGGGAGTCAGGGACCTCTCTCTTCTAGTCAGCCTCTTGCCCCAATGTTTCCAGTGCTACAGTGCAGTACCTAGGGTCATGCTGTCTGGCTTATTGCACCATTTCCAACTCTTTCTTCTTATTAACTCCTCGTTTAGCAGTTCCAGCAGCTTTTGCAGCAACAGTACAATCATGTGTAAGAAATGCAGTCTAGCTTTAAGGACAGCAGATTTGCTCGAAATGAAATAAAAACAGAAGATGCTGGAGATACTTAGCAGATCTGTGGAGAGAAAAACAGTCAATGCGTTGGGTTAATGCTATTTCATTGGAACTGGTGGTGCAAGTCTTAAACAAGGTTGGATCCCTTGATGAAATATCCACGCTACATTTTAAATTATTAGGCAGCACAAAGTTTTCAGGCTGCACTCGTTGCTATTCCAGTCATAAAAACACAGTCACCACACCAGGTTTCCAATTTCCCTACTCTGATTCTCCATTGTTAATTTCCAAGCAAAATATGAGTTTGTTATAACGTACCTTGAAATCACATGTGCAGGTTGAATCGTTTGGCAGTGTTGTGAGTATTAAGTGAGTACAGATTAGAAAAGAATGGCTGATCCATAATTGTGTGATATATAACTGAACATTTCCTTTTGCTGTGAGGTGTGGGAATGAACATTAACCCCATGTATCTCGGTGAGAGTGCACCGAAGGAAATCCGAGGCATGGTGACCCTGTCGTTTGCTCCATTCACTGCGGCTGGATTAGTCCTGGGACAGACCATTGGACTGAGGTGAGTCCTATGTTTCACAAAAGCTCTACACTACCTGTGAGTCAAGGCACAGAAATAATTTTTATCGTGAGCTCATCTTGAGATTTCTCTAGGGTACTTTTCTGATTTTTGGGCTCTATCTTTTTGGTTTTCAAGAGTTCCTCTCTCATTCTCGCTAACTCCTTCATTGCATGATGCAGTCACGTAATATCATGACCTTCAGTATTTGTGTTGATGTGTGGATTATCAACGCTCCATTAAATGTGAAGAAGTAACACTCAAAGAAAGCACTGATTTCCTCAACATCACAGTGCCCCTTGCAGCCTCTCTCTCTCTCCCCAACTCCTCCTTTTGGTCTCCCTCTCACTCCTACCTAACCCCTTGCTGTCGCCCTCTCTCTCCCTTCTTCCCTGTTAGTTTCCCTTTCTCTGCCACCTCCTTCCCCTGTAGCTGCCCTCTCTCTCTCTCATGGTCCCCCTTTATTGACTCCCTGTCACACCCCATCTCTCTTATGGCCTGCCTTTAATACCCCCACTCCATAGCAGTCACCCTCCACTTCCCTTAAAGCCTCCCTCCATCCTCTGAGCACCCACAGAAAATTCAACAGTTTCTTCCTCGTACCTCTCTGCTATTGAGCCCTTACAATGTAGTCCACTGTGACCAGTACCTATACATCATTTTATGGTAAGGGAGACAATGGCCTAGTGCTTTATTGTTAGACTATTAATCCAGAAACTCGGCTAATGTTCTGGGGACCTGGATTCAAATCCCGCCATGGCAGGTGGTGGAATATGAATTCAATAAAGACTCTGGAATTAAGTGTCTAATGATGACCATGAAACCATTGTTGATTGTTGGAAAAACCCATCTGGATCACTAATGTCCTTTAGGAAAGGAAACCTGCCATCCTTACCTGGTCTGGTCTATACATGACTCCAGACCTACAAAAATGTGATCGACTCTTAACTGCCCTCTGGACAATTAGGGATGAGCAATAAATGTTGCCTAACCACTGATGCCCTCGTCCCATGAATGAATAAAAATGGAGCAGCAGGAAGGGGAAATGACTGAGCCACATGGGATGGTGTACAGTGATGACTTATAAGTATCTGCCTATTTCAGATTGCAGATTAAGCCATGTACTCTTTGATGCTGCTTGGCCTGCTGTGTTCATCCAGCTCTGCATCTTGTTGTCTCGGTATCTAGACAAACACTGCTTACGCATATAGCAGTTCAGAAAAGGAGAAGAAGCAGTTATTAACATTCTCTCAAACCACCAAACAGTTTAATTTGGAACACTGCACATTTTGCACTTTGCATGTTCATACTTCCTACTTCTAGACTATGACCTGGTGCATCTCGAGGACAATTGTACCTCTAACACAGCATTGTGTGCTGAGGATCAGGGATAATGGTGGTTCTTGGCAGCTCCATTCTGAACTGGTCAGAAGGGTTTCTCTACAGGTTGTGACCAATGTGATTGCATGGATGGCATTCTCCTGTAAGTAAGGCTTCATGAATCTACCAGATTGTTGTACAAAATTATTTGGCTCACTAATATCCTTTAGGCAAGGTCACTTACCATCTTTACCTGATCTGGCCTACATGTGACTGCAGAGCTGCAGTAATATGGTTGATTATTACCAGCGTGGTAGGAGACAGTTATGTTACTGAGCTAGCAATCCAGAGGTCTGGACCAGTGCTCTGATAACATGAATACAAATCCCACCACAATCGCCAGAAATTTGAAATTAATTAAATTTGGAATAAATAACAAACACCAATAATGGTGATCCTGAAATGAAGCAAAATCCACCTGGTTCATTAAGTAAGCAAATTCACTGACCATAACTGGTCTGGTTTACATGTGACTCCACAACCACAATTGTGGGCTTGATTCTCAACTGCCCTTTGCAATTGCTCAATCATCCATTAATGGTATTAAATTACTGCAATAATGTCTAAAGAGAATAAAACCTGATGGACAACACAGCATCAGTCTAAGCATCAGACACAACAAATCCCTCAGCCTCGCTAACTTTAACTTCCTCTTCACACGCGTCTGGAGACTTGTCACAAACCTGAGAGAGGTGTCTAACAGGCTAGTCAACTAATAACCTGGCAGAGTCATACTTGCTAATTAATGCCTTACAGTTAATGTCCCAGACTCCTCCTCCACAACCTTTGGGTATTTCCTGTCCCATTGGCTGGTGATGGCACAGTTGATTGTGGGGGGTGGTGGGGTGGTGGGGCGTGGTGGGATGGTGGGAGTTGGTGCAACTGCACCACACTGTATGCAGCACTTCAGGATGGCATCTTAAACCTCATCAAGGTCAAATAGGGATGGGCAATAAATGCCAGCTGTGCCCATACTTCATGAACAAAAAGACAATCTCTGGTTATATCACAGGCGCTGGGCCTGATGGACTGTCCTCTGAACTTCTTCAAAGCCTTCGCTCACCCAATATCAATTTCCTTGAAACCAGGGGCTTGTTAGCTAGGCATTGAATTCTGTAAGCCTCCCTTCCCCAGTGTCAGGTTCACTTCTGGCACTGTCTGAGTAATGAATAAAGGAGAGTCATGACTTCAAGAAAAGATAAACTGTAATAGATATCTTTTCTAAATTGCTCCCCTGAATTTGTTTACGTGGAAAATAATTTCTAATTTTCAGATTAACAACTTTGATGCAAATAAATGTACCAATAAATGTTAGTTAATAACTGGGAAATGTTCAGTCCACAAATATTTTTATATATATGTGATAGGTATACATTCTACATTGATATAGTTTTAAGATAATTCTTCAGAATATGAATATCATTGACAGGGATGATATATCAACATTTTCCCATCACAGATCTCCATTCACTGCTAATCCTTTGCCTGTAGTATGAATATATGGTTGTGTTGCTAATGCAATGTGTATTGATAAGGAAGTGAAATGATTTCACAACCACTAATTGCAGGGAGATCTTGGGCAGTGAAGACTTGTGGCCTGTACTGTTAGCATCCTTTGCAGCTCCAGCAATAATCCAACTCATGACTCTGCCATGGTGTCCAGAAAGCCCGAGGTACTTGCTGATTGACAAGGAGGACAAGAACATGTGCATGAAGGGTAAGTGGTTTGGAGAGGCGAGGACGCGTATTTTTGTCCATTGGTCCAGTGATTTTGGAGATAGCTCCAACAGAAGTTATGAAACATCTGCAGAACAATGAACCAGCTCAGCGAACCAACCAACCACAACATCCACAACCCGAGCTACAAATCTTCTCTAAAGCCTTAGAAGTTACCCCAATTCACTCTGTTCCTCCATTAGCACAATCTCCACATCAGAGTGGCACGGATTTATTTATTTTTGTAACTATGGTTTGTGAAGAGATTTTTTTTTCATTTATCTACCTGCAACAGATAATGAAGATGTTACTTGCTTTCCAGTAATTGAGGGGAAAGAAAATCGATCACTTCATTATCTAAATGCACCTTTGTGGAAATGGTTATGCATTTCTTCACTGAAAATATGCTGCCAATTTCCATTCCTTCTGTGGTAGCAAAATTCCAAATCTTCAAGATAAACAGCATGGGATATCTGCTAATCCAAATAACATGATGGGGACAGTTGGCTAATGGGGACTGTAAGAAGCCTGAAGTTTTTATTCAAGCTAAGTTGATATTATTTTTCTCAATCGATTAATTAGATAGAAATATAGTTCAAATCGTAGATATCCCAATGCAGTTTGGAGCAGGATCAGCTCCTCAAGTCTGCTCTACTATTGCAGATCTTGGCTGATCACCTACCTCAATGCCAATTTTCCACCCTATCCCCATATCCCTTGATGTCAGTAGTATCTAGCAGTCAATTGAACATACTCAAAGGATGAGCTTGCACAGTTCTTTGGGATAGAGAATTTGAAAGATTCATTGCCCCCTGGGTGAAGATATGCGTCCCTATCTCAGTTCTAAATGGCTTGCCCCTTATTCTGAGACTGTGTTCTAGACCATCCAAGCAGGAGGGACATCCTATCAGCATTTGCTCTGTTTACTGCTTTAAGAATTTTTTTGGCTTCAATTAGATCATCCCTCATTCTTTCTAACTTTAGATGAATCCAAATCTTCATCTTAAAAGAAAGCCACGACAGTAATTCAGTTGCTTTTTGGATAATTCACAGGGTTGGAGGGTTTGCATGCTAGGGAGAGGCTGAATAGACTGGGGCTATTTTCCCTGGAGCGTTGGAGGCTGAGGGCTGACCTTATAGAGGTTTATAAAATCACGGAGGCATGGATAGAGGGTAAATAGACAAGGTCTTTTTTCCCAGGGTAGAGGAATCCAAAACCAGAGGGCATAAGTTTAAGGTGAGAGGGAAAAGGGATCTAAGGGGAAACTTTTTCACGCAGAGGGTGGTGCATGTATGGAATGAGTTGCCAGAGGAAGTGGTGGAGGCTGGTACAATTAAAACATTTAAAAGGTATCTGGAATAGGAAGGGTTTAAAGGGATATGGGCCACATGCTTGAAAATGGGACTAGATTAATTTAGGATATCGGGTTGGCATGGAGGAGTTGGACCGAAGGGTCTGTTTCCTAGCTGTGCATCTCTATGACTCTATCACTCAAAGGAGGAAGCCTTTAATTGGTGGCTTTGTGAACATCCAGCGATGTAAACATGCTCAGTTCCAGCCACCATCTCATCAACCAATTCTTTTAAACCCTTTTACGGTTAACCAGAAGCATTCAAAGAAAGGTTACCTGACTAGGATACTTGACAATTTTCTCTATTGGAAGGGAATAGATTAACATGGTCTGATTGAGACTCTGCTAACCCACACATTGGCCTTTCTATTTCTGTAGCATTGAGGAAATTACGTGGAGATGTCAATTTCAATGCTGAAATGGATGAAATGCTGGAGGAGCAAAAAGCGCTAGAAGGTCAAAGATCAAAGAAATTGTGGGATCTGTTCCGAGACCGTTCTGTCCAACGCCAGCTGATCATCACATTTGTTCTGGGTAGTGCCATGCAATTATGTGGGAATGATGCGGTAAGTAAGACTGAGGTCCGCTGGAGAACCACCTCCTGTAAAGACCCCATTTTAAAATTTTCTTTAATTATGAACTAAAATATGAAAAAAGGGCCTGTTTTATAACCAAGGTCAGTAGACAGAATTGCTGCACTTTTGAAGTTAAGTCACTGCAATTCGTTTGAATTTTGTATACACTGTTGTTTTGCAAGATGTGGGGGAAGGTCAGAAAGGTCACAATGGCACCAGGATGTGTGTACTGTGAGTTTTGGCCGGCAACAGATTGCTGATTGGTTTGCCCAATTGTGACCCGTTGTGGATGCCAAAGGTCATCAGTCTGACAATAGCTCTCTGATTGGCTCCTGGGCAACTGAACAGTTGGTTTGAGCGAACAGTACAGCGACAGAAGGTCTCCAGACTGGAAGAAGCAGGCTTTGTCTCTACATTTCTGTAATAAAAGCACCTAAGCCATTCATTTTTTCCCACCAATTGATGTAAGCTACTGGCTTTACCAAGTAACTCAATGACTATAATTAGCGTGCCCTCCTGCAAAGAAATGAAAGAATCGGGAGCTGACAATCAGAGAACGGAAGGTCATGGCAGGCAAAAAACATTGAATCCTGTTGATTGGTGCTATTGAAATTTCTCCAGTATTTTTGTTTTTTCACCCATAATACCGATTATTTTGTGTCTGTCTGTGTGTTATAGGGGATTTAAAAGGGGATCAACACTCCAATTAGTAGAGTTATATGTTGAAAGTTCACTTTTGGCCACCATCATAAGATGCTAATTGTCCAGCCTAGCAGTGTGGTCAGGGTAAAAGACAAATATTGCACAAAGCGTAGCAGGAAATACTAGACTCCCGTGTTTATTTTATAATACTCATAGTCATGCAGACCCTGTATGCAACAAAACGATCATAAAAGCCCTCTTTTTCTCAAATGATCTTGCCTTCACTCCCTCACAGAATCCCTACAGTGTAGATAGATACCATTTGGCCCATTGTGTCTGCACTGACCCTCTGAAGAGCATCCGTCCTAACCCTATAACCCCTCTTTTACCATTGTTAACCCACCTAAACTGCACACGAGCCAGTTTAGCATGGCCAATTCACGCAGGGAGAATGTGCAAGCTCCACACACACGGTTATCCAAGGGTGGAATCGAACCCAGGTCCTTAGCACAGTGAGGCAGCAGTGCTAACCACTGAACTACCGTGCTGTCCTTTCTTGGAACTCCTGCTGATTTCTCAGTAACTTCACCCACAATTTCTTCTCCAGTGTCATGTCCTCAGCCTAAACATTAACTTTGCGCAGAACATAGTTCGTGTAATGCTGGGCACGAGGATGGTGTGGGGATGGGGGGTGTTGGGTGGGGATGCAGGCGGGGCTAGGTGGTGAGGACACTACTGAGAGCCTCAAACAGCTTTTCTCTGGGTGGCCTGACTTTCTGGAGACAGGAAAGTGGGACAGGATGGGAGTCAGTCAGGATGGGGAGGGCGCCGGGGTCCGAAATGGAGCAGGGTCTTAGCTTTCAGTTAATTAGGCACTGAATACCTGTCAATGAGCCAGGACCACTAGTAAACTGGGTTTGCTGGGCAGCTTTTGGGAGGCATTGTCGACCTGAGGGAATACATGAATTCAAAAGGTATTTTTAAATGCCAGTGGGCTCACGGATAATATGTTTTAAGTGACTCATTAATATGTGTAATCAACTTCCTGCTTCTAGCTGCTGGAATTCCTGTGTTGAGCCCTTCCTGTGCCAACACTAAATATGAGACAATTTATTCACTTCTGAAAATTAGATGTAGGTGTTCCCACTTGATTCCCCTAGTCTCCTAATAGCCACCATGCCTGCTCTGATGGGCTCCATTAAATTCCTCCCTCTGTGTATCTGAGCACATCTACGTAAAAGCTTCACCTTTGTAATTCTTGTTATATGTAAGCAATTCAGTGTCCACCATTTAAATATGTGGAAGCAACCACCACATTGTAGGAAAAGCTGGTACAGTACAGAATACAGTATCAGCTTTTCCTACAATGTGGTGAATAAAAGTAGAATAAAGGTATTTTATTAATATATGCCTGTGAGTTTATAGTTGGGCTTCAAATTTTATTTATACTTACCTACTCATTGCAAGTTTCCTTTATTAATAGAGCCTTGCTGTATTTTGTTGGACTCAAGAAATTTGACATCTTTTCTTCCCACTAGACATATACATATGCTGTGTATATATTTAATGCTGCTGGAATTCCTAATGAAAAGATTCAATATGCCACTATTGGAACTGGGTGCTGTGAATTTATCACTTCACTAACAAGTGTATGTATTATTTTAATTCTACTGCGCTTCTCAATGAAACTATTTCAGTCTGATTTCTTCATTATGTTTCGACACTTATCATTTGCTAATTTTAAACTCTTATGTACCCTTTTCCCTCTACCAGAATCAAAGGTGTTGACTTGTGAGCAGCATCTTTGATTTTGACTCCTGATCAGCTGGTGTATCTAATATCATAACACTTCAAGTCTCCCTCCCTTTCTCAGAGTCTAAAGGGTAATGCACAAATGGAAATGTGTTACCTTAAGGGTAATGTGCAAGCTAATGCAATGGTTCTCAGGCTAGAGTCTGCTGACTTCTGAGAATCTGTAGAGTTTCCATGGATCAGGCAAAGGTAAGTGAAATGTGAGCCAAGAGGCTGATATCAAATGTAGCCACTACATGAGCAAGAGATAGATTTCTGAAGAAGGGTCCAGATCCGAAACGTCAGATTTCCTGCTCCTCTGATGCTGCTTGGCCTGCTGTGTTCATCCAGCTCTACACCTTATCATCTCACTACATGAGCAATGCAGTCTGGGTCACCCAGGAGGAACATACACAAGGATAGACAGACGATGCAGTGAGAAACAGGCACACCTACCTCACTTATTTAAATGGAAATAAATACCCAATTTCCTAAACTCATTATTAAAAATTGCATACATGCAGCATTTTCATTTTACGAGTATTATATGTAGCATAATTTAGACTGGAGGGAAACAGGACTATTGATCAATTTGAATTCCAAATTCAAAATTGATCAATTTTAACCAGATAAAGTTTGAGAGCCAACAACTTAGATTATTTTATCTGCAGGATAACGCACGGATTGGATATGTACAAGATATTGCACAATCTATGTAATTACATAATAGCACATGATCTGCACACTATCCTTTAACAGATTGTAAAAGGTACGCAAATAAATTTGTCTGCCAATCCCAGTCAACTAGCTAACACAGTGTGGAGCTGGAGGAACGCACCTAGTCAGGCAGCATCAGGGGAGCAGGAAAACTGACGTTTCGGGTCGGGACCCTTCTTCAAAAATCTGAAGAAGGGTCCCGACCCCAAACGTCGGCTTTCCTGCTCCTCGGATGCTGCCTGACCTGCTGTGTTCCTCCAGTTCCACACTGTGTTATCTCAGACTCCAGCATCTGCAGGTCTTACTACCTCCCAGTCAACTAGCTCATGAGAGGTCTCAGCCATGTGTTGCCTTGGTTGTAATTTTTAAATGCTTGCAGTGGAAGAGGTGAAACCTCATTTGTTAGTGTCTGCTTTGGCTGACACTAACAGATCTGACAGGGACAGACAGGCAAGACTCAACTCAAAATGGGCTCAACTCAAAAGGGGTTCCGCTCAAACAGTTCAGAAAATGGTGAGTTATGAAGAAAGGAGTGGTAGAGAATGTAACGCAAAGGGCGTGATTGTCAGGGGTACTGGAAGTATCTTGATCAATGGAGGAAGGGAACTGGGATGAAGAGGGAAGAATCCTGGTGACAGGGATAAGGGGAACAAGAAAAGGTGAGAGCTAATATGTAGGGTGGGAAACACAATTAAGTACACTGGGGAGAGAGAAAGATAATGGTGAGAAAGAAAAAAAGCGAGAGAAGTGTAAAGTTAATGCTGACCATGGGCATCTGAATGGGTGTAGGATCGGGGGAAGAGCAGGAATACGAAAGAAGATGGTGTACGAGCCAACAGTCATATTTGGATACTGAAGGATGGAGGGATGTCCAAAGGAAAGGGGAAGGCCATCTACAGTGACAGTTGGTAAGGTGTAGAGAGGGAGGATCGAGGGCAAATGAATTAAATGACCACTTAGTCATAGAATCATAGAGATCACAGCATGGAAACAGAACCTTCGGTCCAACTTGTCCTTGCCGACCAGGTATCCTAAGTTAATCTAGTCCCATTTGCCAGCATTTGGTCCATATCCCTCAAAACTCTTCCTATTCATGTACCCATCTAGATACCTTTAAATGTTTTAATTGTACCAGTCTCTGTCACTTCCTCTGGCAGCTCATTCCAGACACGCACCACCCTCTGCATGAAAATGTTGTCCCTTAGGTTCCTTTTAAATCTTTCCTCCCTCACCTTAAACCTACGCCCTCTAATTTTGGACTCTGCTACCCTTGGGAAAAGACCTTTGCTGTTCATCTTACCCATGCCCCTCATGATTTAATAAACCTCTATAAGGTCACCCCTCAGTTTCCGAAGCTCCAGGTAAAACAGCCCCAGCTTATTCCGCCTCTCCCTATAGCTCAAACCCTCCAACCCTGGCAACATCCTTGTAAATCTTTGCTGAATCCTTTCAAGTTTCACAACATTCTTCCTATAGCAGGGAGACCAGAACTGAACACAGTATTCCCAAAGTGGCCTAATCACTTCTCTCTGAAATCACAAAACAAGAGCTCATGGCGAATAGAGAGTTCATATGACAGGGGCCCAAGATGTGTTTGCACATCCTCCTGCACAGTACAAAACACCCAACTGAGGAAAATGAAACAGAAACTTAAAAATATTATTGCACAAGCACTCAGTTCGGGTCTTAGCACTGAAGGGATTCACTCACTGAAGAATGATGGTGAAGAAACTCCAACTCCAAACATCAAAATCCCAACCAAGTGCAGTGATTCATTTAACTGAGGAGAGTAAGATTCTGCAGGCCTAGACACCTTGGCTTTCTGGGTGCCTGGTGAACTGGACAAACGGTATTGCTTTCTTGTAAATGGTGTTGGTGAATTCTCTCGTGGGCTAGTAATTGGGAGATGCCACAAATGATGGGGTTTGAGAGGAGCCAAGTGATTACGGTGGTAGCCTACGTCACCTACCATCCCACCAGCATCCACATCCAGAAGATCATCAGATGACATTTCAGCCACCTCCCAGCAAGATGCCACCACCAGACACATATTCCCCTCCCCTCCCTTGTCTGCCTTCTGCAGGGACCATTCCCTCCGGGACACCCTGGTCCACACTTCCTTCACCCCCAACACCCCCCACAGCCCCACGGCACCTTCCCCTGTAACCGGCGAAGGTGCAACACCTGCCCATTTACCTCCTCCCTCCCCACTATCCAAGGGCCCAAATATACTTTCCAGGTGAAGCAACACTTCACCTGCACTTCCAAGAATCTAGTCTACTGCATTCGCTGCTCACAATGTGGTCTCCTCTACATTGGGGAAACGAAGCGTAGACTTGGCGACAGCTTCGCAGAACATCTACGTTCTGCTCCCAAAAAAGACCCTGAACTACCTGTTGCCTGCCACTTCAGTGCACCATCCCGCTCCCTGGCCAACATCTCTGTCTCCGGCATGCTACAGTGTTCCAGTGAAGCCCAACGCAAGCTGGAGGAACAACACCTCATTTTCCGCTTGGGGACCCTACAGCCCTCCAGACTCAATATTGAGTTCAATAATTTTAGGGCCTAAACCCTCCCATGTCCCAGCCCCCCATCCCACACACCAGGCCTTGTTACCACATAGCCTGCCATTACACACCCACTGTTGTTAGTCACTAACAGTCCCCATTAACAACTATTCACCCTCCCAGCCTGATCGTTAGCAACTCCTTTGTCCGTCCAACTGTCTTTCTCTTTGGGCTCTATCCTATCGTTTACTCCCTACTCCACCCATCTCCCTATTTTCTGCATATAAACTGACGTTTTCCCAGCCACCATCAGTTCTGAGGAAGGGTCACTGGACCCGAAATGTTAACTCTGTTTTCTCCTCCACAGATGCTGCCAGACCTGCTGAGCTTTTCCAGCAAATTTGTTTTTGTTCCTGATTACGGTGGTAGGGCAGGTGGTTATCCCACATGTAGCTGGTGCGGCAGCATTCATAGCTCGTGTAACTGAAAGGTACAAACAGGGGGGATGAAGTCATTATGTAGGCCATTGATTCTAAGTCAGTAGGTGTGCATTGCAGGGGATAGCAGAGGTCACCAAGAGTCATTTTGAGCTAATTGTCGCATGCACAGAAAGTAAAGCGAACTTTCGCATGGGAGAATGAGAAACAGTAAGTCATTGTTCATGGAGGATGCACTTCACCCTGAAGAGGTGGCTGCAAACTTTCACTAAATGCATGTGCAGCCTGAGAAAGGCCGAAAGGTATCTCGACTTTGTCAAGTTCTCAAATGGAAAGCAAATATCTCATTCCTGCTATTTCTTTACAGGTTAGTACTTTCATGACACATCTTTGACCAATTAACTGTAGAGCTGTACTGGAACTATTCGGGTTATGGAGCATGAGGAAAAGTAGGAGGAATGGCCTGTCCCAATTAAACCAGAGACATGAAACTTGGCGTTGGAGTGGGGTGCAGAGAGGAGCTGTGGATACCATGCACTTCCTGGAACCAGGAACCAGTGCGTTCAGTACTGCTGAGTGTTGAGGCAGGAAAGGCATTGCTTCGACCTACAAATGATTAAAAATGTAGCACTGAGAATTATTTGCATGACTGGGGACGCTGTCACCTGTATCTGCTACTTTGTACAGGCAAGTCTGCAGGTGACAGGCTGGGGAAACAATCTGTGGCATTGAAGTTCACAGCAGCCTTGAACTGCCTTGCCCTTGGCTCCTTCCAAACCCCATTGGGGGCATTTGTGGCATATCCCAATTACTAGCCCACGAGAGAGTTCACCAATACCATTTACAAGAAAGCAATACCATTTGTCCAGTTCACCAGGCACCCAGAAAGCCAAGGTGCCCAGGTCTGCAGATTTGTAGCTATCTCTGGGTTCTCTCAGGTAAGGGGCCAGCCAGATTCCTGAACAGAAAGAGATTTCACTCCCGCAATGTCCAGCTTGTTTGTGACGCCACAGGCAATAATTCCTGAAGATATGTGCCTCCCATCCATTCTGCACAACTTCCACATTCCTCAACTATTCACTCTCTTTGCCACATTATCTCCAGAGCTATGTCATCAGTGATAGGTTTTGACACAAAAGGAACAGCGCACAAAACTCAGACAGATGCTGATTTGTGCTACAATTGAAAAAAAGTCAA